AGGAGGAGGAGGCATCATTGATGGTAGTTTGGCAGACGAGCGCACGATTAGCAGTGAACAGCGTCGTTTGATATCTTCCCCTGCTGCTACTTCGTATACACGCACATGAATATTCAATTTCAAGTATGATACCATCTTGTACGGGGTTTTATTGGAGAACGAGAGATAGGGCTAGTTAAGGAGTCAATTAGGGCAAGAATCCCTCCCTCTCCACACAACATCTGCATATGTGGAACCTCCTCGTCCTCCCCCTGTACCTGCCTGCCACCATGCCTGCCTCTCCGCAGTTTTCTAGTCGTAAAATGCTAATAAATGACATGGTCTGATAATCACCCCAAAGCTTGCATCCTATTTTCTGCATCTGCGTCTCAAATTAGCACCACAAGTCGTGCTATAGTTACCGCAGTCAATACCGAAGTTATCCCAGCCCTTATGCACCACCTAAAGGGGGTATCCCCTTTCTTCGCCTCCTCCCCTTCTGTTTTTGCTCCACCCCTCCAGTCTGATTTCCGTTTCCTGTGCTCCTCTATTGGTGTGGCGTTTAAGCAAGGAGGGGAGGTGGCTGTTTAGGGCATACCTCTACCGCCGTCACTTTTTAAACCGCGGTTTTATCACAGAAAATGCTTTGTTCCTCGGTCTAATCGTGGTTTAGCAGCGGTGTATTTGAGTGATTGGCCTGCAAATAAGTACTGGTGGAACAGTAGCGGAAAAGACTGATATCAGTTAGTGATCATTTTGTAAAGAGAAAAACACGAAGGCAAAACAAAAGACCCATTTTGTCGCTTTGACAACGATTTCCCCCTAAGTTGGGCTGCTTAAATAGTTGCGATTAATGCTATTGCAGAGGGTATCATGCAGTTGGCTTCTTCTTAACTTCCGCTGAGTAAAGGAGCTTTTCCTGAAAAATTTGTCCTCTATTCAAAGAATGGAAATTTGTGTACCCAGTAGAAACAATAGGGCCACCCAAATGAAACATTTAAAGGGACCTCCAGGAGAAGTGATGAGCCAGGAAGGAACCAGACGACGGCATTACAAATAATTAGGGATGCATGAAAACGCGAACTAGCCTTGGGCTATCTCAGTCGAAAGTCTTTTTTTGAAAGGTTAATGAGAATTCCTTAAAAGCAATCTAATTTATTAAGCATTTGTGTATGCCGACGATAGACAGTGACTCAAGATGGGGCATTTATTTGTCCTCCCCTTCGAACAGTAACTATTCAGGCCTCCACAACTCTGCGTATCTATCTTTCTATCCATTCAGTCATCCAACTTCCTGCCTACTTACATACCTAGTCACTTGGCTATGTACGTATGCACTCACTTATGTACCTACTGACCTATCCTACTGATGAAAAGCGTGGATAGACTACAACACGACTGGGCTTTGCACAATGTACCGGAATAAAACATCCTCTTAGCCTCATTTTACAATTGACCAGGTTACGGGAAATGTGGCTTTTACAATAGTGGCATCAACAGTTGTAAAAGCACAAAATTTGACTTAAGGATTGAGTAAAAGGAAGTAGAGGCGGGAAGAGCCTCAAGCGGTAATTTTGGTATGTCCAAAAGGCAAATAGTAATTAAGAATTAACTTCCGGTGGGTGAATTAACGCTTCTTTTAGGTTCGAGCCAGAGAAATCAATCCTTAACCCCTGTAGACAAGGTGATTTTGTTTTTGGGGATTCTGGGAGCACAGCTTGCACGGCGGAATGCTCAGAGTTTGATGAGGAATTGGCATGCCGATATGAGGCCTTTGTTTTACCGCCCACTGTAGCAGTTGTAGCCGTTTTCTTAGTCGTCTTAGCTGTCCTCACTGTCATAAATTTAACGACGCAGGGTCGGAGCTAATTAGGAATTCTGGAAAATTAATTAAGCATTAAATGGGCTTTGATGCTTAAGCCTACTTCGCCAAACCCCCCATGGCAGGTGTGCGTGTTTCAATGAGGCATAAATTACGACCCGGGTGGGGCTGAGCAATGTCAGCTTTAGTGGCGGCTGGTACGGGCGGCACTGTTGGGCCACTCAGGGTTCCTAATACCTATAATTGAAGCAAATATCCTCTCCCATCGGTCCGTCCGTCCGACCATCGCTTGCTATAAGTGAGAGTGAGCAACGGCAACGTGCATGCGTTTTTCTTAGTGGGCCAGACAGGCCGGTTGAGAGTGCGTATGTGTGTGCATGCAGGCAGATAGACAGACACGTGCATACGTCTAATTGGCCAAGCGCATACGCGCGCGTTAATTAATTGCGTGTGCGTATGCGTGTGGCAGCATTTTGTCCCAGTTCTTCTTCCCTCCTCTCTTCTGTAGTAGGCGGCAGCGACAGCAACATGCTCATGCATACTGGTAAACGATGAGATGTTCCTCTGTCTCCTCTTTTTCCTACTCTTATCCTTTTTAACCTATCCGCTTATCCTTTTGACGACGTGTTTGTTTTTCAGACAACGGAGTAAACAATTTAGTGGATTTGTGCGGCTTCGCCGGACACCAGGGAGCTCCGACGGTTCCCCATGGGTTCCCCTTCGGGTTCCCAGTTCATCGATTTTCACCGACTGCGGGTTCGAATCACAATCTCCAACACCAAGGCGGTGCTCCGGGTGTAAATGGCAATATTAGTAGTTCTGGGAGCAACAACGGGTCCGTTGATTTAAAGGTGAAGAAAGCGAGACATAGGTACGTGTCAGACACACCAAGTGAAAGCTTCACTTTTAACGTTCCGATTTCTTTCTGCTTCCTAAATGATGAATTCCGTGTGAAAAATTTGTACACTTTCGCCACCTTTTTGCGACGAGATTTTTGCCATATTTTGACAGAAAATGCGCTTTTTGCTACATGGATGCATAACTGCACGTATTTGTAATCCTGCTTTCCGGTGAGAATTAGACGTAATCGAAAAGCGCATTTGCAAGGCTGAGGAAAAACCCTACTGAGATTTTACTTACAAAATTGCGAACGGGGGATTCACGGTTGGTGATTTTTTTATCTTCATTAGGGAAGGTATCCTTTGGTTTGTTGTGGGATCCTCATTCTTCCAAATGAATTCATAAAATTACACCAAATTCAGGAAATAAACGACTTTAATGACTCTTTGGGTAAATAGACCTATTTATAGGTTGGGAAGCCTTTGGAAATAATACTTTGTGAATAAGTGATTCGTTATTTTCTCGAGATTTATAACTACTTAAAATAAACGCTAGTGAGAAAAAAGGAAATACGATTAATGCAATAAGGATTTATGGACACCTAGCTGAATATATTATGGAAGTGGCCTTATAGAAGAGGTGGTCAAGGCTCCAGGCCTTCGTGTGCGGGGTCGATCTGTCCGCGACTGCAAAGGCCTGTGTTGTGTTGTCAACCCTCATGCAAAAGTGCCATTTGATATAATTCACTAAACTATAGTTTGCATCCAGATTAACACAGAAACGGTGTAGGAGACTTGAGTTTGGAAGTGGCTTTAGTCAGCTGGGAGACTAGTTGTATAGAGTAGGATTAGTAGTGCTCCACACAGCTGTCGTGGAGACTGATTCGTACACACTTTGAAAGGCCTTTTCGGTGAAAACATCATCATTTCGCTTTTTAGAACAACCTTCTCCGTCTACCAGCTCTCTGTGCTCGAGTCTGCCTTTGACATGTGTCCTTACCCCGATGCCTTGACTCGTGAAGATATCGCCAGTCGTCTTCAACTCTCCGAGTCGCGGGTTCAGGTGTGGTTTCAAAATCGTCGAGCCAAATGGCGGAAGCAAGAGGCGGACGGTGGTGGCGGCAGTAGTGGCGGAGGGAGTGGTGGTCTCCACAGCGTAAGCCTGAGTTGCGGCGGGGATGCAGTCGACTACACCGCTGTTGCACCACTGGTGAGACGCAAGCGGACTGCAGCGGGCGAGGATGGTGTAGACCATAGCCATCATGCCTCCTTGGGAGCGAAACGACTCTCATTCTCAGTCAACAGCCTGACCGAGGGTGAGGAGGATTTAGGCCAACGTGGTGACAAGGCGCTCACGATGGCGCAGCAGCAGAGTCAGTTAGGTGAGGGTTCCCTGATTAGATTAGGATTTTGCTATTTATAAGAGAAAACTAGAAGTTGTTTTGTAGGTCAGATTATGGAAAGTTGTTTACAGCCAGTTTATTATTTAACTCCAAAATATCAAAGTGTTTATATCTTGCCTTAAACAGACAACACTTTAATGTCTTTGGACATTATAAATTGCGAAACTTCACAACCTTTTCAAAGTAGATTGCGCCCAGTTCGTCAACTTATTTACAACTTACCATTTCAGAGCGCAAATCCACTTAAAAATGGTCACATTTCAAACGACCGTGACTCAGAAGCGATGGAAATCTCATTTTGGTGAATTCCCAATCCCTTAATTCGGGCTGATTTTCTATTTGAGGCAAATTTACTTAGTCATTCAGACCGTGAACTGGCTGCTTGCTTGAAGGCGCCTTATTTTTAATAAGTAATTTAGAAGGACTGTTCAAGTTATGATGTCTACTTCATAGCATGTATTGCTAAAACATCCTTAAGAATATAATTAATCCCCATTTTGGAGGTCTAAAATAATGATTCTCCTATTTGTTGATGCAATTTCTTGGAAAATCTCCCCAAAAGTGACCATGTTCAAGCAATCAGTGACATTGAGTTATACCAGAATAAAAGCATCTCTAATTCGTGACCTTAGCAGTCCAGAACACTGAATACCTCGAATTGGGTGCTATGAAACAAAACAAGAGATGTATTCTTGATTAAAGAAGTTGCATTGGCTTGATTAAGTGGGAAAGAGTCCCTGTAGTTCAAGGAACGTTGTTTTCTTTGTTGGGGATAGTCTCATTGCCTCCGTGATAAGTTAAATTCAACTTTCCCACTTGTCTACATCAAGTCCGTAATTGTGACAGGTAGTTTAGACCATTCAGTAAAACAACTTTGAGGTTTCGGAAACATATTTGGCCTAGTTCATCGACTTTACCCCCTGCAGCACCGGATATCTCTGGAAATTCTTATTTAAGGGGAGAGAGGTTTACTATTTAAAGGATGAACGTCTAGCTCTGTTTAAAGTCACTTGCAAAGACAATGTGCGAAAAAAATTCGGTGAAGTTAAAGGACTCAACCAGAGTGAGCTGTCAAAATGACTGCCATAACCAATCACACAAGGCCACTTCGATACCATTTAAGCAGTAGTTATCTCTGACATTACAAGGTTTAGTAAGTTATAGGAGTGCCTTTATGGGGAAGGAGGATCGACAGTGGACCAAGTTTGATTGATTGATAAATAGGCCGGTTGATGGATCGACCGACCGACCGACCAATTCTGAGCAGGCTGAGATGGCTGGTTGTGAATGTTTCGTTATTCATTGCAATTGATGTTATTTTTAAAATACTTTTCTTAGGCATACCTTATTTTACTTGTTCGAAATCACTTTGGTATTCCAAAAATATATTGAGGAAAAATTAGGCGAAGTGAAAGGACCCAATCAAAGCAAGATGTCAGACTGTGCCATATCCGATCGAAGAAGGCTACTTTAATTCTATTATAAGCAATAGTCACATCTGACACTACAGACCCTGATAACCTATCAGTGTAAATTTACGGGAGGGGTGATCGACTTTGGATTGAGGTTGACTGATGAATAGGCCGAGTGATCTTTGAACCGGCTAAAATGAGTAAATGCAAATGTTTCATTATTTTTACAATTTATGATTTTCAAACATCTTTTTGGAAGCATTTGTTGTTTCCATTGTTCAAAATCACCCTCTTATTTCAAGAATAAGGAGGAGAAATTGAAAGAAGCGAAAGGACGTAACCAAAATGTCACGTCAGACTGCATGTCATATCCATTCGGCTAAGACTTCTTTAATCCCATTTAAGCTAAAGTCACGTCTGAGACACTAAGCTTAATAACTCATCAGTTTCCCTTGATGGAAAGGACAATCAAATGCCGATTAAGGTTGAGTGATTGACTGATAGATAGATTGACCGACGGCCGGCCGACCGATTGACCCAACGACTGCATTTTGAACAGGCTGAGTTGGATAAATGCAACTATTTCGTTACTTTTTTGCCACGGAATATTTTTTTCGGAGGCACTTATTGGATTCGCGGCTTTAGTGGTTTTTGGGGGCGACAGCGCGTCAGCATTAATTAATTAGGAGTAATCGAATTAGCGGTTGCTCGCTTTTAATTAATGCATAAATGTCCAAAAGCCTGGACAGGTTGAACAGGCTAACCTCCTCACTCCTGCCTGTATTTAATTATCCGGGGCTTCTCCTTCAGGAAGTTTAAAGGCGCGTGCACGCACCCACACCCACGGAGCGAAAAACGCTTTGAGTTTGTGAAGGCGGACTAGGCGAGCGGTCTGCACGTAGGCAGGTCCCGTAAATAATGCTGACAGAGGGTGGGTAGAGGAAGGAGGCTACTTGCTGGCCATTGCTTCAAAGAGAAGTTCCGACACAGAAGTCATTATTGTAATACTTCCAATAATAATTACGGTAATGATAATTAAAGCACTTGACTGGTCGTAAACCGGTATCAGAGAGCGAGAGGGTGAGGAAGGTGGGTAGGTGGTTTGGTGATAAAAACTTTAGCGCTACCTCGCTCTCCTCCCTCTCTCACTCTCAATGGCTCTAACCAATAACCGCCACCTATTCACGTTTCGTCAGTAGTCTGACAACAATGCAGACAAACTGGCCACGTAATCCATCTAGTGACCGTTCAAAGCGCTTAGTTAGCTAAACGAAAGATAAAGACCGTTTATTCTCCTCTATTTAAATTGGGGTGCACATGAATTTCAATTAAAGAACGGTCAAACGTTTATGAAGACATATAAAATTACCCATTTGTTTATTTATTCACAGGTGGAAACTTTCTGCGCTACCTCTGCTCCCTCTTCTTAAACAGTACTAACAATAGCGGCAATGGTAGTGGTATTCCCTGCAATGAAAAGACCCCCATTCCTCTGCCCCAGTATCCACTCCCAGTGCTCCCCCGTTCGGATTTGCCCTTGTCCCTTTTTCCCCCTCCCCCTCCCTTACTGCCACCACCACCACAATCACAACCACCGAGGGTCATCAAAGATGAGGAAGAAGCCTCTAGGACCTGTTCAGACGGCGGAATATGCAGCAGCGGTGATGGCAATGGTAATGATGTCAACGGCGGTTCCCTTGACTCGAGGTACCAGTTGGCAAAGCGATTTTTGGACTCCCTCCTCCTTCAGAAGGCAGCTCTTCAGCAAAGTCAGAAACGGGACACGGAGTAGCCTGTGGCACACTCCAAAAGCACCCTCTACTTCACAATTATACACATACCGTGCAATACATTCCTCTTTATAGTGCACAAAGTATACTACTCACAACTCTACTTATTTCCAGCGAATCAAGTGGGTTGATCATGCAATGACATTGGCAAAATATTAAAGGGGCTTTTTCCTAAGGATGTTGCCTCAGGGTAAAATTAGCTACGCTTACCAATTAAAAGTTGAGGATTCCAACTTTTCAAAGTTGTATTCAAGGTCAGTAATGCCTTTTGAAACTCCATACCAATGCACCATGCATACTACTCACAAGTCTACTGAATTCGCCGTTTTATCTTGGGAGTAATCAGCGTTATTAGGGAAGTTCACCTGCTTCGTGGGAGTGCCACATTGTTTAGAGTCTTTTTATACCAATGTAGAGGGTGTGTGTTCTGCACCGAAAATTTTGATTTCGTAAGGAGGGGTCATTTTTTATTTGCTGGAAGTGGAATACAAGAAGCATTTCTTTGTCGATCGTATAATTGCTACCTGAGGTTCCGTTATATTTTACTTTAAGGAACACAGTGAAAAGCTTTACTATGTATTATGTTATCAGATTCTGTGAAAGAAGTTTTTAATAGAATTCCCTACCCGAATCTCCGGAGGGAATTTGACCAACGCAGCTCAGACGTTTTTTAACTTTTCATATGTGACACATCCCAATCAGGCTTCATTTAGTTTCCCATTTTTCGAATCAAATGTGGCAAATGGGTGTGATCGGTGGACTTGGAGGAGAAGACTAGTACATGCCACTTATGTGACAGTGGCGACGAAAGAGTTGATAGGTTACTGAAGGTCATGAAAGGACAGCCTCGTTAAGGTAAACTGTTTCCACCTATGTTCAGACAACCACCATCCAAAATTTAGGGGGAAATAAAATATATATATCCTTATTATGAAGCATCCAAGACAAATTGGGCGAGCTCCAGGGAACATTTGAGCATTCTAAGTTTATTGCGGAAATTACAGCAATTCCTTTGGAGTTAATCTCATAAGACAGTAATGCATGCAGTGAAGCCAGCATGTTACTTGGAAATGGACTAGGCTCTGAAATTTTAAGACAAGGCTGAATTTGTACCTCGGATTATTCATATAGCTATCAATAGGCTATTAAAGATTATTTATAATACGAGTACCAAACGTGGATATAAATTCATCAGATGGACACAGCTCTAGCATGACGATACCTCTTTGAAGACAATAGAAGACATAATACAGGGGAAGAATGCACATTATCGACATACAGGAGGGCTGGAGGGCCGAAGGTGTGGCCAAAGGGCAGGAGGCCCAGCAAAACCAAAACGAAAATTCATTCCTATCGTCAAAGTATTGCAAAGTCCCTTCCTCACTTCGAGCTTCATCCCGGCCGATCCCCTTGGTCAATCTCCTTCGTAGACCATCACACCTTACTCGGTTCAGTAACTAAAGTACCCACTAACTAATTGCACCAGACATCAAATTCGAGTGCACCTGGGAAGATATTTGGAGGTAACCTCGCTGACTCCTCTTGGTAGTTCTGCTTAATCCAAAGGTTCGTCTTATCTGGAAATTGTGTTGAGGGAAGCGGGAATGTGCTGGCCATCTCGCATGTCATCGCTAGACGGAAGGGTGCTGGCATAAACCAAAGTCACTTAGCGAAGGACGGGGTCTAACGTGGTCTAGTGGGAATAAGGTCGCTCTTCTTTTCCTCCTTACAGCTTTGTTCTCACTTTGGTTCTGTCCAGCCATAGTACCTATCTGGGTCCTAACTGGCTAGCATAGAGATGAAGCAGGTATCACGTTTTCGCTCAACTGACATCTTCATGCGGATATCGTTGACAGTTTTGTAATGAACGTTTCCGGATGGTCAGAGGCTAGTATCGCTATGTTAAGTGCTTTCCTGTAGAACAGAGACTGGGGTAGTTGTCAGAGGTAGATGTCATTCTCAACCCTTCTGTTAAGGGTCGTCAGGAACTCATTCATCCGCAGCATATCCACTTCTTCCATCATACTAATGTTTATCACTTAGCGGTGGAAATCAAAATATTTGTCCTTAGGATTGGGCTGACTTGTCGCTGCCACCAATATAGCGCTCCTAGTCTTTCATGAAGTCGGGAGAAGGCATAATACTAGGGCAGAATATGCATTTCCGACTTGGAGTAGGGCCAAGGGCAACCAGCATAGCACGTAGGCCATGTCACGCAATGATTTAAGCGATTTGTATCTAAGTTTCTTTTTTGCTCGATAAAATGGAGTACAATAAGTGTTTGATTTATCCTTAACCAGATCTGTTTGCACGATATTTACCCAAGTAGAATCGAATTCAATAAAATCAAGTATTTTTATAAGAAAACAGAAGCTTTAAGAACGTCAAAATGCTTTCGAGTAGTAATTTATAGTGCTCCAAGTCCTTCCACTTGGTGATACCCATGACGTACGCATTGCACCGTTTAACTGCGTATTTAATTGCGCGGTCACTTCTATCTCTGCTGGCTGTGCAATCACTCTGCAGCACGACCTTCGGGCCGGGCTAGTCTCCTCCCAGCCCCTCTGTACTGCCTTAATGCATGTTCTTTCATGCCACTTTGGTTTACTGCGACTTCAGTAAAAGACACGGGATGCTAAACTAACAGCCGTTACAGATAATTACGATGAAATTTGTGAAGAGATAATTGTTTAGGGTGGGAAAATACTCCATTAATGAGTCGAACTAAAAAACTGGAAAAACTCAACGTTTAGTTGATTTTGCTGCTTACAAATAAGAGCGAAGTGTCGGATGTGGGTGGGTATCAAATTGAAGCCCAAACCCTTGCTGACTATCGAGTCGATAGGCGGGAGCGAAAGCAACAAATATGGCAATACAGCTAACTCGTCAATTAATGGGGTGCAATGTTAATGAAATTGGATCTACCAGACACGCAGTAGATTAGCACTGATAAACCAGGCACATGGATGTTTAGGTTAACTGTAAACAGTTCCCATAACAAAATTAAGACTGACTATTTACAAAATGCGGAAAAGTTGTCCCAAACAAGTAAGGATATCAGAAGTGACCTCTGCAGATGCTTTGAAATGCTGAGGGATTTGTGTTAAATAAGGGATTTATGTGAATTCACCGCAATATTTATGCTAACTTTACCCAATCACTTGTTCCGCAAATATTTTTCTTAGAGGTAAGTAGAAGGATGATGTTAAGTATGGTCAAAGTTATGTTAGTGGTAGCGACAAAAGCGTTCTTTTAAGTATTTTCTATTTAGTAGTCTACATTGTCTGGAGAGTGCCATTATCAATACTTACAGTGGGAGTCACTCCAGGTAGTCTACATCTCTTTATTACCTGAAAAATAAATGGACTGCAACAATTACTCATGGTGATATTCTCTGGCTTTGAATTTCTATTTTTCTATAATAAAATATAAATTTGTAACATTTATGAAATCATCAAAGATGTGCTAACTTGGATAGTACTCCAATTCATGAAACTGAAACAAAAAATATTAAACGCGATTTCACTCCGCAAAGTTTGAAGGCAATGTTATAGACTATGACATCTGAAACAATCATTGTAAGCTCAAATAACTTCTATAAATTTGGAAAGTGATTTAAACTTTGAGTTTACCAGCACCGCAAGCATGGATCGACCCCTAAGGTCAAAAGACTGATTTCCTTACCGAATATGTATTAGCTACTTACACTTATTAAGTACCTAAGGTAATTTTCTTGTTCATATGGCTTTCAGAGTAGCTCCATTAAATAAACTTTACTTTTAAAGAGAAAAGACATAAAATATTCTAAGCTAAAAACACTTCCTGCTTATTTTCCACAATAAGTCCTTTTAGATGCTTTAAATCCTAAGTCCTGAGCTAGTGGATCCATCAGAGCCAGAAAAATGAAAAATTGAATTTTGTGGCAAACTGACTTTAAATATTAAGGGCTACTTCACCACCTAATCAAATGTTCCTAGCATTGAAAAGGTGTCATCTGCCTTCTTTGTAGTGGGGAAGTTAAAATATCTGAATAAAGTCGAAAATCCACTCCCTTAAAGCTTTCAAAAATTTACCATTTTTTTTTGCAGTTATGCAAGATTAGGCTGAATTACGCGCTAAAAATCTGGTGGTCTTCGAGTGATCATTTAAAATATAAAGGTAACACCTTGATGTTTTCCATTCAGCTAAGAGGTAAAACAGTCTAACCAGTTGAATTAGGATGATTTCTGGATACAGTACTTATTAGACCAGGTGTAAGTACTGTTGTTCCCATTACAAGAGGCCAAAATACGAGCATACACATTAAGATAACAAGAGACCTAGAGTAACTTTCGGATCACGAAGCAATAATCCATTTAAAGGTGAAAGCAATGTGCTTCTAAAATCTCAGGGGAGCACTTCAAATACTTATCCATATAGCAGTGAAGACAAGTACTTACTACCTGGTGCCATGTAAGATTACAAAAGTTTTTATATCAAATTTTGCAGCCTAAATAAAGTTCCCCCCACTTCACTAGGGAGGTAGGTATCTTAAGCAAAAAGTAACCTGACCGAAATCGTAAGATTAACAGCACGCCATCATAAGTGATCTGTCGGGAAATTCAGTCCGATTTTCGTAATCCCAATGCAGTAAATAGTGAAAACTGGAATTTTGAAAATCTCTACGAACTTTCAATAAAAACAGGAATCAAAGTGGGCTTTACATGAATTCTTTATGCGTAATGGAGTCCGGATAAGAAGGCTTATGACCCATCACGCATCTTCCGAGGTTTTATTCATTCCTTAAGAGCGCGTACAATAGATTCTGTTTTTAGCTAATCTAGTTTAATCCAAAACAGTAGAGGTACAAATATGTCCAAAAAGTTAGTGCTTCCTTCAAAAAGTGGAGGTGCATGTTTAAGTGCATCCATTACAAACCATAGATGGATATGCCAGTCCATCAGTACGTCATCCTTCAGTGTTCTCCCTAGCCTTTCAGCTTATTGCTAGCGTCATAAAATGCCATTAGAACTTGATAGATGTAGCTTGCTAGCTTTGAGAAAAAGTTCAAATTTGTTAAATGGCAGTTAAACAAGCGGTATTATGTGATAGCGGAAAGTACAGACAAGGATCAAACGGTTGAGATTATTTGACCTCAGTGATAAATCATTCATAGATAGATGCACCACGTGCGGGAAGGAAAACTGCCTAGCCTTCATAAAAGAGACGACTTTCGTGTCACTAATGCTTAAAATAAATCCATATTAACATGTCAAAGATCTCTAGTTAAGTTTAGCCCGGTTAATGTAGGAGCTCTCACTGTCATCAACCGTTACAGAAAAGTCGGCGGAGGCTCCGTAAATGCCCTCCACCCACATTCATGAACAGGCGACAAACAGCTTAGGCTTACCAGCTTGTTGTTTTCCACTTTCGCACCTTATAAAAACGCGCCATGAATATTACGTTGTTTACCGAATGATTTATGAGGAAAATTACCGTGAGCCACCGTCAAACGATTCACAAACAGCTCCTCACCTCTAAGGTCCACACCACTTCAACCTCAGAAGGCTGTGGCTGGTCGGTAAGTAAATTTTGGACCCTATAAAATGTTTATTTAAAAGCTATGGGACTAAACGTCAACTCATGGAGAAGGTCAGATTCTTAGGGGGTAAATGACGTCTGCATATCCTATTTGAGATAGGATAGGATTAAAATACCATCTCCTGTTGTAGATAATCATTTTCCAACTGACTTCTACTTCTTTTTCGACGTTAGACGATCGCATGTGAAGTAGGCATGTGGGAAATGAAACACACCCTTTTGCCTTTAAAGGTAAAACGCTTTATAAAAGTGGAATTTTTAAGCTGACGTCTCATGGGAAAAGGAAATTTGAACCGTAATCTTTTAAAAGGCTTTCTCATATTGCTCACTTTTTGTTAAAAAACCGAACAAACTCACTTAGTTAACATGAGCAAAGTTTGAAGTTCTTCATTTTTAAGAGAGACATTGGAGGAGTCATTGCTCTAGTTACTGATGAAAAAGTCGACTGTTTGCCTCGACCCACTTTGCTTTCCTCTGTGTTTGAGTGCTACTTTACGATAACTTGTGGAACTTAGAGCTTACGACCAAAAAGTTGGCATTTAGATGTCTTCGAATTGCCTATTATTAAACGCCTAGCTGAACCATTAAAGAGACCGCACATGTAGTCTGTCTGGGTGTTTTAGGACACATTCAGTAGAGTTAAAGTTAGCTTCAGATCTGACTTAAAATACAGACTTGAATAAGCATCATGCTGTAGTTACTAGACAAAACAAACGCCGAGGAATCTTCACCTTGTGGTACAATTGGTTGGATCATGAACATCCCAGAAGACTGATGGTCGCTTTGTATTTTAAATTTGGTCAGGTATAATTTTCCTTGAATAGGTTTTAAATCTTAAGATCAGTGAGTTAATTGGGAAAGTGAGATAAAAGTACGACCTCCTGTTTCGACACTTAAAATGCTCCATTGTTACCTTCCAAGGGGAAATGCTGGAATCCTTTGCTATAGCATTTCTGTCATTCCTGAAGCAAGGTCTGGAAGTAGTCCCACCACCAATGTTTAGAAGAGTTGGGGATCTGGTGGAGTTTGAATACAAGCCGCAAGCGTTGAAGAGGAGCCAGGGGGGACTTGCACATCCAATTACGATATCGTTCTCCACCTTCAACGTTGTGTTTGGCTAGTCTTCCGCTGAAACGATGTCAACCGTGAAGTAGGAAAGACGATGATTTGGTGTATTTGCATTACATCTGGAAGGCGTTTTACTATCGGTGATATATCCCATGGATTGGGTGATGCTTCCAACTACTACGTTCTTTGTTGGGCGAAGTGAGAGTTGTAGTTCTAACCCGTAGCCCAATTCATTTTAGAACATATTTTCACAGATAATTGGGAAACGGAGAGGTAAGAGGACATTCGTTTCCTTCTCATGTGGTCTCGACTTGTTCAAATTTCCCCCAGATGCTAAACCTAAGATTAGGAGAGCTCTTCTGCAATGAGTCTCTGCAGCCATGTCAAATAGGTTTGTGTTATACTTTATTTGTTTGGCTGACTGTCGGTTTTGGTAACAGACTACTTAGGGACACCGCCAATTCACCCATTCAGGGTGGGCAGAATTCCAGGCTGTGCAGTAGTCCCAAGTCCTCCTATATGTCAAATAAATGTATTCTGCCCACTTTCGTCCTCAAGGTTGTCTCAGAGCGCTACATTGGAGGCAGGGGAAAGCATACACAATCGTAAAAGGCATCTACACTGATTTCCATTTCTGAATGTCAAACCTTTACGTAGCAGAAGATTGAATACTGTGGATAGTAGAATCAGTGACGACTTTTAGCAGTAGGGCTGGAACTGACGTCTAACTTGGACAACTACCTCAGTCTCCTGTTCTGCATGAGTGCTACTAGCAACTGAAGTGGCACTAGCTGTAAACTGTCTGGAACAGTTTGTTACGGAGCTGCCCACGGTACTCGCGTGAAGATGTCGATGGGGTGAGCACGCGATACCTCCTCCTCTACCTCTCTGCTAGATGGGTAGAACCCAGAGAGATATATGGTTGGACAGCACTGAAGTGATAACAGAGTGACAAGGTGAAATAAAAGCAAAGCTTTATCCTCACGATACTACTTTTACACCCCATGCTGTATAGCATGCCTCTGCTTTCGGGATCAGTGTTCTTACGACCAGGGATGGACTTACTTGATATCTCCTAAATTCCCTTCATCACTGCAGTATCTAATCAGGACGAAACTCGAGATCCAGTGGAATCACCAGGAGAAATCAGTGACTTTGAGGTCAAACATCTTAGATGCACGCCAATTCGATGACTGGTGCATATGCTTCGTCGGCGTCCATCTTATAACATTGACTGCGTTGTGAAGGCAGATGAGAGTGGTTAACTGCAGGAAGCACCAGGGATGATACTCAAGACGGTAAAGGAGCCACTTTGTTGTTCTACCATTGTATCTTCGCTGGGCTGGCCTCTAAGCCCTACTGTATATTAAAATGCAAAATCTGCCCAAGTATTAGGTCTTCTTTCGTCTTTGGGGAAGTCTTGGGGTGCTACAGTTGGCATGGCTGATTTTTAAAGTTCCGTTCCGTGGAATCATTCGTTCCTCTCTCCAGTGCCAATGAAAGATCGCCCAGTTATATTTGCCTGATCGGTCTAATTTTTACCGGGGAAGCAAAACTTATGAAAGGACGATTACTGTTTTTATTCACTAGAATAAAAATTCTATCTGTAGCGGCTCATGGCGTGCTCTCTATGGGGAGGAAATTAATTCGATGAATTTTTTAAGCAAACAGACATCTGTATAGAAACATTGTGATTTTTGGTTTGGTTATCGAATGAGTTGAGAGAGAAAGCGAAGCCTCGGGGAGGCAAATATCTATCTTCCTACTAACTGTTTAGTTTTATTAGGATGTTTGTAGTCTCCAAACAGAATAAAGTATAAATTATTCATCCGCTATCCTTCAGTCAGGAAAATAATTACTTCATTGCCGTGGTCAATGGCTGAACAAATCTTTTAAAATTACATAATTTATGGCTCCTTTTATAGATAAAGAAAAATTAAAAAGGCAAAACTTGTTGGACCGAATAGTCAACAGTCACCGTCTTGCTGTCATGGCAATCCGTTAATGACAGTCCCGTCATCTGCCGACCAGAACTTACATGCTTCGTGGAATAAAGCCCCACCTAAACGAAGACCGTCTTTTTTGCGTCTCTAGGTAGAGCCCGAACACTCTGGCTGGTTGTGGTCGTCAGCAAACCACTCCAAAAGAATAGAATTCCCGATCTCCTCGGCTGGGTACTGGGTCGTAATGTCACAAGGAGAGGGGCTACCAAAGCCATGTCAACTTTGACACAGGACTGGAACGATTTAAAATACTTCATTACAAAGCTGCCTTCAAGTTTTGCCTTGGGATATATGGGTGATGTGAGAAGATACTCCTCTTAACCATTCCTGGAGCCGGCTGGGTAGTACTGGAATGAAAACAATGCAACAATGAGGAGCGGATGCCACTAGCTTTTACATTATGTATCTTGTTAAGTGGTCCTGAGTTTAGATAGGTGTGAAAGTATCACCAGAGAGAGTCAAATCCAGAAAGCTTCTCTTGGCCATTTTCGAGAGAGGGCATACTCCTAATTCCATCACATTCGAAGAACTGTATCCATGACGTTGTTTGGCCTTTGTTCCTGCCACTGACTACGTGGTGATCTGGGTTGGAGGATCGGTTTTGCTTCTCTACGGACTATTCCGCATAACTAGAGATTGGATAACCTACAGAAGTCATTGCGATCCCCCGCTAATCTTTTTACCCCGAGTCACCTGAAGTGCAGCCGTCTACAGAAAATACCTTACTTCTACAACTCCAAGGGGCGGTACTGGTCAAAAAACTTAAAATTGGCCTTACTTTGGGTCGTAGTTCATGATAACGAACGCTAACATAGCATTTAAATCATCCCATTAGGCATCGCAAAGGAATGCCGCCATTAGGATAATCGCGAGTGGGCGATGAAATCGAGGATTTAATGTAAGCAGAAAAATTTTCGGAAATTATTTCAGTCAGTGATATTATATTCCAGTATAAAAGTCAATCGTCTACCTATTCATTTTATCCTTTACCACCGGTGAGACTGTCAGGACATTGAAGTAAATATACACCGTACTTTGACATCAATAATCACGTTTTTTACGTGAAGTCAGTCAGGCTTCCTCCAATGTCATAATGTGTTCTAGAGTAAACACAACTATGTAGCCTAGGTGATGAAGTGAAGAGGGAGGTGGTTCGTTTTTTCCTTTATCATCCAAAGGGACACTCTGTGTCACAGCCTTGTTGGCGTCAAATTTGTTCTGCGATAAGCACATTCGACTATGGTGGGGCAGTCAACCTAGATAGGACGTAAGATCAATTTTCTCCCAAGATCTGGTGGCTCTGCTTTTGTTTTGTGTATAACCTATTCATTAGTTAAAAAGCCGTAGTTGTTCTTTAAGCATGGAGATTTGGAGGAATACAAATTTGCAATTGTTGAATGAAAAGTCGGAAATACACGACATTGTAATCGAATGCCTTACTTACAGAAGAGTGAGAGGTTTTAAAGCTCCGAATGCTTGGTGATGGATGGGGCAGACGAGTTTCCATCAGTTCTACCGACATTTTGATACCATGGGATCGTATTCTTACGCCTAGCCTCCCCGTCTCTCTGATCTCGAGCAGTAGACCTTCCCTCGTACTATCGCACTTTATCATATTTTCTGAGAAGACTTAGGTCACTCGAAGTTGTGTTTAACGCCCAAAATGTCGACTTCTCTTTACTGATGAATACGCTGACAATGCTGACACTTTTTATAAAAAATTCAGGTCATTCATTTTCCAAATAAGCGTTTATAATTTTGCAAAGTGTAATACTTGTTTAACTCTCGGTTTTGGTAACGGGCACCCGAGGCTCAGCCATTGTCCCTCCTCTGATCGGCCCTTCCCCCAAGCCATGTCAGCAGCCCCTAGCCCTTCTGTACACCAATAACGCATATTCTGCCCTAGCATTAAGCCTTCTTTCGTTTGCAGAGAGGTCTCGCTGGGCTATAAATTTTGGAGGTAAAATTATTTCACCTTAAAGCGCTTTAGAGCATATCCGATCCTAGCCCGGGAATGCAAGTTCAAGTTTTTTGCCTGTTTATCAAAAACACCTCTTCAAAAATTGTCCAAGTTGATGTGCTTAACATTCTTGTAGGTTATATTTACCTAAAGTTGTAAGTGCCTTGACTAGCCTTATGCAGTACACTGATATTCGACTTTGGCAGTTTTATATTTAGACAACTTAGAGCATGCCCAAACCAGGAGCACAGAGAGGAAAAGAATGTAATCCGTGCGCTGTTGGGGCTACAAAGGAAATCAAAGGGACAAAATTCTCCTCTTTAATTTTGAATTTATGTGATTGTGGAGTTGAGTTTCCCTTTTGGCCTCTCCTGGCCAAAAGTTCATCAAATACACAGCCCACTCGGAGTCCATGCGTGGTGCTGGAAAACAAACAGCAGTGATTCAATTTGGGGAAGTGAAATTGGCTGCTTAGACACCAGTGGCTTTTTGGTAAAATACAGTAATTTTCCAGTTTTCATGCAATGGAGAAGCATTTTTGTCTAGGAAAACTGTTGGAAAGTAGGAAATACTTTCAAGCACGTCCATTAGATTAAGTTCAGGTCCACCGTCCTTTTTATTATGAATTACACTTAAGAACCAGAAAAGTAAGTTTCTAGTTGTTTTTTATTCCAATGAAAAAAGGAGGTAAAGGAAACACGTTCATACCATTTTCACCTAGCTGACATTCAGACCTCATAGTGCTTTGTAGCCTCCATAGCCTCCCTAAAGACTAAAGAAGACATAATGCTAGCGCAGAATATGTATTGCTGACCTATAGGAAGTCATGGGGACTATTGGCATGCCTCGAAGGCCATGTCGCCCAGCAAAGGTAACCAGACCGAGCCTTAAGTGCCATCGAAATCAAAACGATGAGTTTAAAAGCAGTAAAAACATTGCATAACCCCTCACCTTTTTTGAGCGTCGTCCCCGGCGATACCCATGATCAACCTTTCACGTTGGCCATCACAAAGTAGTCGAGGCTGCAAGAAAGACAGCCATAAACCAACCGCCTCAGACATTGAAGTTATGTGTAATCGAGAGGAGTACTGACTACCACATCACTAAACCCTCATGGCAATTCCACTGGATCTGGAGTTTCGCCCTGATTGAGAGCTGTGGGTCGGGAAGGGGATTGTGTAAGCCATCGCGTGTGTTCATCGCTGGTCGTAAGAACACTGGTACCAAAAGTAAAGTAATGTCATACAGGATGGGGTTTAAAACAGTATCGTTGGGATAGAGTTTTGTATTTGTCCCACCTTGCCACTTTTTTTCATTTCAGTGCTGCTCAGCCACATATATATCTGGGCTCTATTAGGCTAGCAAAGAGGTGGAGGGGATATCACTTGTCTACTTAATTGACATCCTCATACAAGTACTGTGGGCAGCTCTGTAACGAAATTTTTCAGATGGTTAACGGCCACGATCAGTGTCGTTTCAGCTGTTAATAGCATTCCTGCAGAAGAGAAGGCCAAGGTAGTTGTCGAAGGTAGAGGTTAGTTTTAGCATTTCTGTTAGGGTTCATCACAGATTCTCCTATCTGCAGCATACGGTCTTCTTCTGTCACGTTAATGTTTGGCATTTAGAAATGGAAGTCAGTACAGATGTCTTTTAATATGGTGTATGCCTTCCACTGCCTCCAATGTACCGCCTTGAGACTTCCTTGAAGAGGAAGGCGATCACAATACTAGGGCAGATTATGAATGCCCAACGTGGAGAATTGTTGGAAGGCTGCTGAATGGCCCGGAGGCCATTTACTAGCAAAACTGAAACAAGGTTTTAAACAAACAAATAAAGTGTTACAGTATATGATCAAATGGTGAAAAATTGCTCTATTATCCAGTGGTTGATTAGTTTATTTAATTTGGGTGAGAGAGTGAAATATGTGCTATAGCAGTAATAAAATACGAGGCTTGGGAGGTGGTGTACTTTTCTACAAAATATGGCCTCATTAAAAGCATACAGTTGGACTCTAAAATTTTTTGTTTATATCTCTACTCCACAATGATACCTAGTTAGACATCGCAGCCTACTCCTGCCTCTCTTTCCCCTTCCTCTCCGAGTTTCGCCGATGACAAGTGGTCATTTTGAAGGAAAAAATATTTTTGAGGTATGAAATTCGCGTCTAAAATTAATTGACATGGTCATTAGCTGTCTAGAAGGCTTGTAAAGCTACTCCTCAATTTACAACCGTTTTGACAGGGAAAAATTGATATTCAAAATTGTTTGAGCCTAGAATATAACAGATGTTTCTATTTTGTATTAGCTAAAAGCATTTTTGGGTTATTTTTAATTAAACAAATTAATAAATTTAATCCAAGTTGTTGTTTTCGCATTACCGCAGTTCTGAAAGCCAATTAAATCACTCCCTACTTCGATTTGACAAGTTACCAGGATAATTTTAACTGTCTTCTTCCTTCACCATCTGCTTTTTTCCTTCAGATTTAACTTTAATTTTTGAGGAAGATGCAGGACAAGAGGAAATGTAGCCTTGAATTTTATCCTCTGCTAAGGGCTCATTATTCTTCTGCTCCTAGAACGTCATCGTCAATAGCTGAAGGGATGACGTTGAATGGACTGTGAAAGAATTTAACAAATGGTTTAAGCATTTTTGGTGTGGTTTCTGAAAAAGGGAAAAATATTGCTAAATACTTGATAAAAGGAATTGCATGCTATTCGTGTAGCTTGAATGCTATGGTTCGAGTAGGTGGACAGGCATAACTCCAGGTATGTAGGATACCGCCCAATGTCAACAATGAAGGAGTACCGAAATGAAGGTCCGGGCTTAGATGAAGGGAAAAAAACATGTCATTCCATTTCAGTGCAAATTAGATTAGTACATGACAGAGCCAAATGAGTGAATAAAAGCGGAACATTTGGGCCTTGAGTATTTGACGTTCGTCCTTATTTTATTCCACAATTAGGGGGCTTAGAACTTTGGAAGAAGCAACTCGCAGCCAAGATTAACGTTTAACCACTAAGAGGAGTTTCTTCATGAGTTTAATTTATTAGAGATGAAAATCTTTTGCATGTTTTCTTCTTTCAATTTAACTAGAAGCAGTGGAGGTAGAAGGAGAAGGAGCACTGATTGGTACTCTCCCAGCTTGTCATGCCATTTAGTTCTGTCTGGCACTTTGGTTGTGTCCCAGTATTTTTCCTATGAGATTTGTCATTCTGATGTGAAAATGGCTACAAAAAATTATAAATTATGGCGGAGTAATAGCTTTCTGTCATCTGCCCTTTAATGGGCATGGGGATAAACTGTGAGCTCACATTCATCACCATTTATGTGCTCAACGTAATAATAAAGTTGGCTCTAACAGAAACACCGAATATTTGATAAAAAAACTTTGAAAGTTAGAGCTTCTAATCGGGGTTATAAAGGCGAGGAGGAAGAAAATTAATCGGGGAGTTTCCTTATTACTAACTATAAGCCTTATTTTAGGACCAATGAAGTTGTATAAGGCTGCAAAATTTGATGGAAGGAGTTCGAGATTTCCACAAGGACGAGAGAAGGCACAATACTCAAGCTGAATATGTACTGCCAGCGAAAAGAATGACTAAGGAGCTACTGTCACGGCCCAGCAGCCAGGCCGCCCGAAGGAGGGGCAATGGCTGGGCTCCCAAGTAGCGCATTACCAAAATTGAGTTAAAGAAACACTCCTTTGTCCCCTTAATTAAACTATTTTCGCGGTGCTTCAACTCATCCCGGTTTTCAGCGTACTAAAAATTTATTTAAGAATACTTTTCTTTTTATTTCTTGTTTCAAAAAAGTGCCGAGAACTGAAGTTTTATTAACTCGCATACGCATTATGCAATATTAAGCACGCATGCAGATACCCAAGCCGACTGAACATCAAAGAGTACCTTAGTTTTTTTCCAGAATTTTGAAAAATCATGGATTAAATGTGAAATTAGCTTCTCATTTTAAAAAAAAAAAATAAAATAATCACTTAAATATGCAATGAGGCAGTAGGAGACAGGCAAACTAATCTACGTAAAATGAAGAAAGCTGGCGGAGCTATTGGTCGGAGGGGTGGGTTCTTCGACGACTATATGTGCATGGGATAAAAATCTTATAACCCAGCTGAATATCATAAATTATCATAACAAATGAGTCGTGAGAAATCAAAATGAGTCCTGGCGACTTTAACACCATCAAGGTTTTTCTCCGTAGTCCAAGTTTGAGAACAAT